AAGATTATTCTCTCCCCTTCCTACTCCACATATCAAGAAGCGCTCAACACACTGACCCGTTCGACTCTCACTGACCATCACCACGACCTCATCTGCAAATTTGGTAAGAAGCTTCTACACCATCCCCGACACCGGCTCCTACTACCACCTGAGATCCCTTGTCCGAGAATTGCTGTTCGACACCACAACCGCATCCAGCCCATACGTGCACGAACTGATCGCTATAAGAACAGCCCAGTCCCAACCATTGTAAAGATTATCAATAACTTGTAATAAATCAGTGTATTCACTCCCAGTAAACACTATGTGTCACTATGTTGAAATGAACTGTAGTTTGAGCTTTTCCCCATCTAGTTATTATATGTCTTATTTGTGTCACTTATGTTACTTGTATATTATTTGTAATTCGTAACCCATTCCCCAAATATGTAACTGTATATTTTCAGCCTTCTGGCTGCCAAGCTCTTTCAATAAACCGTTAATTATTATTATTTATTATTATTATACACACACACACACACACACACACACACACACACACACACACACACACACACACACACACACACACATCTCAGCTAGAGACGTTCATCTATCACTAGTTAAGAAACAAACCTAAGGTGCACAATATTTAGGTGAAGCTTGTCGGCGCCCGGCTGACAAGTTTACTGGAAAGAACATAACATTCCTTTCTCACTTGCCCGCGCGGGTGGATATGTTGGGCGAGGTGTTTTTATTAATATTTTGTCATGGTGGAAGAATGTGTATTGTACTGAAAAAACAACAAACAAACCTACTTGGGTCCCTCTTTAGCTCACTAAAAAAATGTTGATATTCACTTAATTTTCTCAACTGTGATTGATTTCATGTACAGTTTTCCAGTTCATTTCCTCCTGATTTTTGCTTAAGAACTAACGAGCAAAAGAAAATATACGTCAAACGAAGAGCACGACACCTTTACTATACAACAGTTGGACCACAACTCAGATATACCTGCTTTCTTTGTGTACTTACCCTAACACTGTAAAACTGACTCACGCACACACAAGTGGCGGATTGTAATGGCCTGAACTGTCACTTCGGCGAAACTATGATCAATGGGAAGTGAATGACAAAGGTAGACGATAATGATAATGATCGCTATAGTCATAATAATAATAATAATAATGGTAACAACAACAATGAAAATAATTTAAGTAATAATAGTGGTTATAAAAACAATAATAATAGTGGTAATTATAACAATAATAGTGATGATAACATCAACAATGGTGAAATACATAAAACAAAAATAATGATAATAATTGCAATAATAATAATAATAATAATAATAAAAATAATAATAATAATAATATTAATAATAATAATAATAATAGTAATAATAATATGAAAACAATATTCTTATTAAGGGTGATAATGACAAGACGTATTACAAAATGTGTCTGAGTGTCATCTCAACTTTTTGACCAACGACGTAATTCATCCCAAATCAAACCACCTCTTTCTTGGTCAACATCCAACTCACCCACAAAGGTTCATCAAAACCGGTTCAGTAACTATTGTGGAATTGTGTCCATAGATATACATATTTAACGAAACCAATAACCCCTCCTTCGCCTTACCTATCCGTGGGCCTTGTGCTGGGCGGGGGTAGGACATGCTGGCGAGGAGTGGTAACCTTCACGGCCTCGTCAACATCTGTGTTTACTACTCTTCTGGTGTTTGGACAGAGAGTCGAATAAGAGCCAATTAACCTTAAGATAGACTGTATGCAAGCGTTTCCTCTTCAAACTTTAAACTACTGTATAAAACAACATAATCGTCTCGTTTTGTTCTATAATCTCAATGACGTCAGACAATTGTATTTTTTCCCGTGTCCTTCAATGAGCTGTCGATATAAAAACACTTTCTTTACCGTTCACTTATATTGTGTCCTGCACGTCACCACCTGCTGGCTTTACCTCCCAGTAAGGTGCTCCATCACCCACGACCTCACCCACGACCTCCACCACCCACGGCATTACATAGTGGATTTTATTTTTATTTTCTAACCTTGACGTCACCACCACTAACCAGATTATCTCCATTCAGCAACACCTACACTAATTCTTGGGGGGGATGTGGTTAATTTGAATCTTTATCGACTCTGTATTTCTTCCTCACCCCTTTCAGCCCCTTCGTCACCAGATACAAACACTCCTCGTCGTCGCTGCACTTGCTGGATATAGCTCCTTGAGGGACTTGAATATACCTGATGTTCCAATGACTTACTGAACAGGACCTTACATGGGAGTTGGGCTTATCGCTCCCTCACAATATCTAATCTAAAATATTAATAACGATAAAGCTAAGAGATAGGGAGAGACAGCGAATCTCTCTTGATAACAACCACAGACTGTTGCCTCCGTTGTCAACAAAGCACCTGATAAAAAAAACTTGGGATCACCTGAAGCTTAGACACCACAGCTTATCTTAGACACCACAGCTTATTACACCTGCTAAATAAACATCCTAAGGCTAGATTAGATTATGTTAGGTCAAGTAATGCTAGGTTAGATTATGTTAGTTAGGGTTATAGGTTAGGTTAGCGATACGGCTGGTTAGCATTACGGTGATTAACTATCAGGCGACGGAAGCTGGGTGGGCCGTCGGGTGGCCTAACCTTCACGTGATGTTAAGCTTGTAACACCAACACACACAGGAACATAACGAGGAAAACACTATACCACCATAAGATGTTTTAAATCTCCCATCGATATTGTGAGGCGTAGTCAATGTGTGGCTGTTAGTAGATACGACTGAGGTAAATGAGACGGTTCTTCTTCTCTTAGTCCGAGGTAACGAGTGATACGAGTAAAACAAGTCGAAAGAAAAACAAAATTCTTATCTGAGGTTATTTACAGTTTGGAATTTTTCCGACTGGTACAATCAGTGTTGTCAATCCACCCTCTCTGTGAGCAATGAATCCCGAGGGTATCGACTTGTGAATCCGAAGCATTTACAAGTAAGGGGAAGAAGGGGGGGGGGCCGGTGTGTCAGGGCATCATATTTGGAAGTTGCCAACACCTAGTTATATAATATACCGAGTCTTATATAGGGAGAAAGAAAAAACTACTATAATTTATTCTATAATGTTTCTGTCGGAAATTTATAGTTTTCGAGCATTTGAACTGATAAAATTACTGTACTCTCAATATTACTTGTTCAGAGTGGGCAGGGCTTTGTAGAGGGAAAATGCGAGGTAAAATACTAAAAATAACACCAAACAAACCTTTGAAAACCTGACCTAATCTTTCTTAACTTGTAAAAATGTTAAGAATCACTTTTGAGTTTATGGAGCCCTCCTAATCTGAGCACAGAAAACAGCAACAACACATACTAAAAATCGAAAACAACACCATCTACTAAACACCGAAAACATAAGTAAGGTAAACTTTAGAGTTTTAGGATGTTAATGGTTAAAAAATGTTAGGTCAGGTTTTCAAAGGTTTGTTTGGTGTTATTTTTGGTATTTTACCTCACATTTTCCCTCTACTTCAAAGCCCTGCCCAATTTGAACAAGTAATATTTTTGTTAAATTTATATGTTAAAATACTTGAAAAATATAAATTTCTGATGGACACATTATAGAATAAATTATATTTAGTTTATCCTCTTTCTCCTTTTATAAGACTCAATATAAAAGTAGTGTTGGCAACTTCTAAATATTTACCAACGCGTTTTTTGTCACTTCAATTTTACGATATTCGCCGTTTTTCCGTACACAGAGGAGCAAGTCTTGGCCCGCCATCCGGCCAATGGATGACCCTTTAGTCAGAGATTGTTCTGGTTCTTCCTGCAGATTTTTTTGACTTACGTATTATGGTGACCAAGCATCAACCCCACAAGTTCTTTTTTTCTTTTGTTTGACACAATCTCTCAAGTAATTTCCAATATGACATCATTGGCACCCATAACATCAGTAGCCATCAATTACTTATCAAGTGGCAAAATATTCTTGCAGTCTGCAATCTTTCATAACTTACCAGACCTCACTTAAAACACTACAGTGACTTCCTGTTTTATTCTCCTAAAATAGAATGAAAGGATTTTGAGAGAAAAAAATTTCAACAGTGTAAACCTGACACAAGTGGCGGCTGTTTCTCTCTACCCACTTCGTAAGTTCAAAACCGATATCTCGCAAAAAAAAAAAAAAAAAAAACTCTTGCATTTTGTCTGTTTCTCGAGGTAAGAAAGCCTTTATCTTCTATGGAGAAATTTCATCAGGTAGCAGCTGAGGCAGGAGCAACATCTTCAATATTACCAAAAATAGTAAAAATACTCACTGGTGGTCTTGCTGGTGACGTCATCCCTAGGTCACTTATTTTCACTTAACAGAGATCACTAATTATCACTTAAAAAGGGTCACTAATTATCACTTAAAAAGGGTCACTATTTATCACTTAAACAAGGTCACTAATTATCACTTGTTACACAAACGCTCATTAAATATTTCAATATCACTCACTATATAATCACTTAACACACAGGTGTGATTAATAATATTTTCACCAATAAATTCTTCCATAAGTTTGACAACAGTTTGTTTACATCACAACTGTTAATCTTGGCATAACACTTTAAACTTTCTCACCTCTCCACACTATAGCTTTTATCTTAGGTGTTTGTAGCGCCATTATTCTAGTAATGTTTTACAGAGTACATGTGGGAATCTCTTTATGGCAGTAAGTTATGTGGGAGACAGTAGACGGTGGCGTGTAGCCGGCACTGGTTGGACCAAGTTGGTGACTGTCTGACCGGTCACTGATGGACCGTGGAGGCGTGGACGGTCAACATCAAGGAATATTATAAAGAACTGAAACTCCCTTATAACTTCTTTATGCCCTTGACACTGGCGCCATCTATTGGACAAACCAGAAATAATAGAGAATGGTCTTTGGAGTATTTTAAGGAAGTTGTTATTTTTTTTTTAAAGGTAACTCCAATCATTTAATTAATTATTTAGTATATTAACATTTTACCATTTATCAGCTTATTACCCAATCGGCCAGTTTGTCTGTGCTTTGTTAGTTTTGTTATTACCTTTATTGTCCAGTGTCAGTACAGGAGGGAGCTGTAGTACAGTACTGAACCTGGCGGAAACCTGGCTCTCATGTGTGCGTCCAGTTCAAGTTGGACTCGAACCCACGGAATAGTGTGAGAAATACATGCATTACCACTATGCCACCAACACCCTTCAAATTATTTAATGATTATAGTCACAGTGCAACTCATTTTATTATTGTGATCATTGTTTATGGGTCAACCCTCACGCCGTAAAGTGTTCCTAGGTCAAGAAGGAACACTTGTCGTCTTGTTAAATTCTTCGACCTTTTATTTAACTTTATCATCTGAAGTTTGTGTTCCGTTGTAGCTTAAGAGTATTCATTTTAATACTATTCTGTACAGTACTTCTGCTACTTTAACTTTGTGTAATGTTCCTTATTGTGTGTTTTTATAAGTATAGTTATAAGTAATCACCTACTTATATAGAAGTGCATTTATTTATAGTCCATTATAGGTTATTTTCACAGAACACTCAGAAATTTGCATAAATAGTGCGGTTCCTTCCCCACCGCCACCTAGCTGCAGGGAGAACTTCCTTACATCTATTTACTAACTTAAATAAAGCAACACAAGTATAGCCAGAAGCAATAACACACATCTCACAATATAAACAGCACACAGTAACGTGCAGTACACTATTAGGTCACGCCATCTTGTACACAGGGTCGAGGCTCATGCTCACTACACTCGCATCATCTGGACAGTCTCTCTCATGACCTCTATAGCCAATACTTACTTCCATATTAACTTATTTTACGACGCCACTTAGAAGGTGTAATGTGTCGTTAAGGCTCACGGTGAAAGGAAATTGATGGTATGCAATATATTATGCAAATGTGGTTGAGTTTTCTCTTCACCTCGTAAAATATACCAAGTTATACCTTATACTGAGGAGATGGAGGCCTACACAAGAGCCATTATATATGATTGCGGGAGTCTGCATAAGAACAACGTTATTGTTTCTATATCTAAATTTTACGTAAATTAAAATTATTAATGTAACTTTTTAAATGGTAAGTTATCATTAATATTACATAATATTTGTAGCATAGGGAGGAGGATGGTGAGTAAAGTTGTGTTACGTGTACTGTATATTAAGAAGATTCAACAGTTATATTATGTGTTACCCTGTCAATAGTTCCTTCTCTTTATTAAACGAATACCAGAATATATCTTCTACTGTGTTACTGTCAGGATTCATATCACGTCCAGGAACATGCTACCATAAGCTGGAAGATTTTAGACAATGACCAAAAGAACCCCCAGAACTGATTCCTTCGTGTTGAAAATAATACTGGGGGCAAAAAACACCGAGGAGGAGCGTCTATGTACTATTTGTGACTTAAAATGTAAAAGTCAAATGCTCTCTAAAACACACTCCTGTACAATAATGATCTCAGTAGGGATTTAGCGTTTTGTTTGTTTACATTTTCGTGCAGGTAAACATTTCCCGTCAAAATTATCGGCTGTGTTTTGACGGCGGCAAAGACCAACCATTGACGCAAAAACAGATGTTCAACAAATAGGATAATACTAGTAAACGAGTAGTACTTAGCTTACTGTATGCGAATGTACGTAAGTCTGTACATGAGTGTAATGGATGGCAAAGACACAATGACAGGGTTGGGAAGGTTGAAATGAAGGGGTGAGGAGACGCTGTTGCTTCTTTCAGTCGGCTGGTAAACCACTAATTTCTGAGGAAGAGAACGCCGTGTGTATAGACCCTGGCAGGAGATGCTTGCTGTTCTCTTATGAAAATTAAAATCTATCAAGGGTACAAAAAGCAAAAATTAGATAGAATATTATTTTGTGGGTGGTTAGGTTTATGAGTGGTTAGAAGGATGTGTGAGCATTTTTTTATTCACTATAACATTACACAAAACTTTACCTAATCACACGAAGCACTTCAGACCTACAGTACATCGTTACCAGATTTGCATTTGATTTTGAAGGTAAATTTGAGAAGAATTGAGTTTAATCTTGATATACTTTGACGCAGATAAAGTTGACTGAAAAATTCCGTAATAGTTCGTTTTATAAGTATTAATGTTAGATGGGATGGGGGAGAATCAGAGGGAGTTGGTGGGAGGGGGTTTGAGATCGAAGCAAGGAAAGGTATGAAGGAGTGGGGTGGAGAGGAAAGAGGAGAAAAAGAATGGAAAGGAATAGGACAGACAGATAGATTAGAACAACAAAAAATACAATAAAAAACTCAAGGTGTATATATCTCTCCCCCCAGGACCCACTGCTCCCGCCAACACATCAGGTAACGTCTTCCTACGCCCCGGACACACACACACGACCCTACATGAGTTGTGATCCACTAAATATGGGGCTGGTGATCTTTGGCTTTAGGTTTCCAAGAATCTTCGATTTTTTTTCCCGCTTAATTTACGAAAGTTCGGGATGGGACGGGAAGTATGCCAAAAGGTTGTCTATGTCGATATTGTGTGATGGAAAATAGATCATCTGAAACGGGTAGGCACTGGGAAATATTTCACTAACTTTACATAAAAAAAATGAATTTATAGGAAAACAAATATTCCTGACCTTCCATCGTGCAGTTCTACCCAGATTATAACAGCAGTGTTTTATTGCGTAAAGATAAAGTGTGTCATGGGTTTTTCAATTACGCGTCAATTAAGTAATAATAACTATTACATCGGGATACAGCTATTATGTACAAAGAGTTCCAAATTTAATAACGATTTTTACAGCGCCATTACATCCGCACTCAGATACTTTACACAAAAAATGAGTTTACTTTCTCCTCTCAAGTGGTTTGGTTAAGTTTGCCACGCCCAGTGCTCCTTAACCTCCCCGCCATTGATAGAAAACGACTGCAATCGACACATAATTAGAGAGAACGAACGACACGGAGTGGGGGTATAAAAGTGAGGGAGAGACTATGCTACCTCAGTCACTGGTCTACTTCTGTGGGTGTTTGTGCCTGTGTGTTCCATGTGTTCAGCTATGGAGGGATATTCGGTTTGTGAATTGATTAGATTTCTGTTTATTATTTGGATATCTGTATTGATGATAAAAAAAAAATAATCAGTATATGAAATTGCGGCGTTCCATTTAAAACTTGAGCAATATCTTTATTATTACCAAAACAATAGATCTATGACTTTTTTGAGTTAACGTCTTGATAAAGCATGCATGTCTGTAAGTTTGTCTTAATACGTTAGTTTTTGTTTGATTTATGTTAGTTCATCTCATCTGTTACAGTAGTTTATGTTATTTCATGCTATGTTAGGCTAAATTATGTTATGTTATGTAATGGTATGTTATGGTGGTTAATCTTAAAGTTAAAAAAAAGATAAGGAGCTAATCATCAGGTGATCCGTTATACTCCCGGTCGACACAGTTGACCCAGACAATGACAGAACTTGTAGAATCTGGACGACTATAAACAAACTAGTCCCCCTGCTTTCTCTCCCCCCCTCCCTTCCCCCCTACGTGTTTGACCTTCCTTGAGAGTTACGTTTCATCAGGTAACCTTTTAAGTGAAGGGGTCATGAAAGTACAGCCTAATTAAAATGTCTGTATTATACTTCAGACTTATTAAAATGTTAGGTTAGGTTAATTTATGATTGGTAAGGTTAGATTATAGCAGTTTAGTATCAGGTTAGGTTCGGGTAGGTTTGTGTTAAATTAGGTTAGGATAGCTTAGCGTTAGGTTAGATTAAGTTAAGGACATGCGAGTTGCACTTTAAACTGTATCTGTGTGTCTACAGAAGCACATCGCTGTTTGATTACTCTTCATAACCTCTCCGTCAATCCTCTTCCCACCAGGTCCCGTCTCTGCTGCTGGTGCTACTGCTGTCCTCGTACCTGGGGGAGTGTAGAGGAGGTCCCCAGCAGCAGTACCCACCTAACGACACCACCATCACCGTCTTCAGGCCTTCGGTGAGTGAAAGAGCTTAGAGAGGAGGAAAGGGAGAGGAGTGAAGGCTATGTGTTTGTGATGGGAGATGAAGGTCTGGGGTGGGGCAGGTGGGTGAGAGGTGGGAGGGTAAGTGAGTGTGTTGGTGGCGACCACGAGGTAGAGAGGGATTTTTTTTTTAATGGAGATTTGGTTCGGTTCTTCGCCACCGTCACCTTTATTTGTACCTGGCACGGGAGGTATTATCTTAACAACTCCCTTATACTCCACAGGGCGCTGGTAGTGGCTACCAGTTCGAGTACCAGGTGATTGAGGCGGGATCTTCGTGGAGTCAGAGCCGCGGTGAGTGGAGCGATGGTGTGTCTACTCGAGGCTCCTACACCGTCAGGCTACCGGATGGACGCCTCCAGAGAGTGACCTACATTGCCGACGAACACGGCTTTAGACCAGTCATCACATACGAACAACTCGAAGGAGGCGTTGACGGGTATGATTGGCAGAAGAAACGTATGGGGAAGAAGGTGGAAGGAGAGATTTACGGCAAGAAAATGAAGATGGATGATGGTGAGAAAGGCCACGAGGAAGACAAGGATCGTCACAGTGACATGAAGATGGATCACACTGCAAGGGAGATAGGTAAGCAGGTCGTCTCCCCAGTACACAGTCGCTTCACTGAGGATCCGACAGCGTATGCACACGTCCCACAACCCTACGATTCCTCCTGGCGAGGCTATAACTCTCATAACAGTCATCCAACCCGCAACTACCAAGCTCCTCCACCAGGCCGACCTCACCACAACACTCCTTCCTACCATCCTCCTTCACCCGGCCACTACGGTATGAAGACCTCGCACCCTGTTCATGACAGGGTGGAGAAGTACCAGGAAAACCTCTCTGGCCATCCCAAATATATGGAAAATATTAAATCTATGATCCTAAAACATCCTGCTGAGAAAGCAAAGACGTACCGTATCAACACCGCTCCTCCCCGTCACCCGCCGATGGAGTTAAAAGACACAAACCACGAAGAGATGAGGAAGCCGACGAACGGACACGCTAAAGCTTACAAGTTGGTGACCGAGATGAAGAAAAGTGACAAAGACGAGATGTTCGATAAGATGAAGGAAGTCATGATGAAGGAGGAAGATGATATGAAGAAAAAAGATGATGGACCCTTGTATCGTCAAGACATGGGCATGTCGAGTAAGATGGAGCCTCACCCGTATTCGTCCAAGATGAGAGCAAACGAACAGGACGAAGAATCATCCGAGGTATCCAGCGAGATGGTGAGTTCTGAGGAGGACGACGACCTCTTGTACAGGAAGATGATGACCACTATGCTGCCTCCTAGTAAGCCGTTCGTACCCTCTACCTATTATCCCATTATGCCAACTCTGGCACCCTCTAGCCGTCCTCCCACCACCAGTCACCCCAGCGAGTCCACCTCACCTCCATCAGAGGACTCCCTTCCTCATAGTCCTTCCAAGCCATCTGAGGCTCCACACAAGATGATGTCTCCCATGAGAGAGTCTTCGCCTCACGCAGTTCCCACGAGTTACCACCCTTACCCTGTCTCTCTTTCATCACCATACGACCCTCTCTCCCACTACCATTACCATTCACCTCTCCACCCCCTTCCTTACCTCTCGTACTCATCCCATCCTTACACTCAACCTTACCTTCTTCCTCATCGCTCATATTACAAGCCCTCAGCACCGTCGCCTCACCACCTCTCTCACATCCACAGCTCGTCCAGTCATTCACCTTACTCGCCCACCCATTCTTACTCACCACCACCTTTCGCCTCCCACCCACCAACTCCCGCCTACCTCCATCCACTTGCCGAAGCTTCAGAGATGATTATGGAGTCTGCAAGTGGAGAAGAGATGCATTAGTGCAACACTTTAAAACAGAAGACTAAGCACACCGTAAGACAATGATATCACCAGCATCTTGGGTGTGCTAGCAGGGTACACCTCGCACCGGGTGTCTCAGTCTGTTAACTCTAGTACACAGTGAGGAATAATGACCATTTCGCCTCACTGTGAAAGAATTGTGTGATAATGCAAGTTTTAGTTTTCAGTCCTCGATAAATTCTATGATGACAGTGTGCAATCAGTTGATGAATCATAAAATGTCAACACATTTACTCAAACTCCTACAACTATATAGATTCATCTGCATTTAGGGTATAAAACAAGAAAATAAAAACAAAATCAGACATCTTGCAAATGAACATAGCGTAGAAAAATGGCTTATCAGGAGGCATACGAAGAAAAATCTCATAACAAAGCACCAGCGACCTGCCAGGCACCACCCAGCTGCATGTTGAAAGTCACTGGCCACGTAGCTCGCAGTTGCAGACACAATAAGTTCCGTATGTTAATCTTCTCCTTTGAAATCGTTAGGCCTTTCTACTCTCAGGAGTTGCCTAGGTGTTTGTGTTGTAATTATCGAAAACAAATCCGTCTTGTAATTACACTGTCGCTGTGCTTCCTCTTTGAAAGTCTTCGGTGGAGCGATGATTAGAAGGTGGGGTGAGTGGTGGAGACGGCGGGAGGAGGTTATGACGTACGTGATGGTGATTACTGCCCCCACACGCCTCCCTGCCGCCACCACACCCTGCCGCCACCACACCCTGCTCCCTCCCTGTCACCACACCCCTGCCCCCTCCCTGTCACCACACCCCTGCCCCCTCCCTGTCACCACACCCCTGCCACCACATCTCTGTCCCTTCCCTGCCATCAGACGTGTAGAGACGTAGCCTGCATAAATGTGACGTAACGTGTAAACACCGTGATATACATACGTGTGTACATATATACGGTATGAATATAAGTACACACACGAATGTATACAGTAATGCGCACACATACTATACACAGATATAAACAAACTCGTACTCATAAGTGTACAAGCACATGTTTACGCTTACGTATATGTAAACAAACACCCACAATATGTACACAGACATACTGTACATACTGTACATCCAAACTCTCTCAGTCACTAGTGAATGTCCTCTCTCACACACACGCACGCACACTAATATATATACAGTTCATATAAACACCCAGGTAACAGCATTGATTGAGGGACAAATTAGCTCACAGGGGTGTTGCCTCAACCAGGTGTTCGATTATATAAGGAGTTAATTAATGAGATGAGGTAAACGAGCGAGAGGTTAACGACTTTGACCTGGAAGTGCAATTAGAAAGGATGGGTGGGGGCGGATGGTGGGCGGGGGTGTGGATGATGGGTAGGGGGCTCGAGGGGATGGGTGCATGTGTGGGGTGTGTGTGGAGGGTGTGTGAGTGTGTGTGTATATTCACTCCTTGAGACATACACCATCTTACGTATCACCATAACATAAAGAAACACGTCATTTAAGACAAACATCTCCACCTACCATCTGGGTCGTGTAAACAGGGTGGCACATAAGTTGTTTTACCGAGAATAATTGTCGTGAAAATATGCCGTCGGGAGAGTAACTTATGCGCCACCCTGTACAGAATGTCTCTATTTACTGCGACTGTTTTTGTTGAATGTTTGTTTGTTTTACCAAATAAAAACTAAATAATTACATTGTTTTGTTGATATCCTGTAGTGTTTTCCTGTCTACAAGAAACACCTTTATTGTGTCGTCTTTCACTAAATGATTCACTTGAAAATTAGCCCCGAACCTAACCTAATGTGACAAGACCTGACCTAACCTAATGTGACAAGACCTGACCTAACCTAACCTAATGTGACAAGACCTGACCTAACCAAACCAAACCTAATGTGACAAGACCTGACCTAACCTAACCTAATGTGACAAGACCTGACCTAACTGTGACCTTAATGTGACAAGACCTGACCTAACCTAACCTAATGTGACAAGACCTGACCTAACCTAATAAAGACCTGACCTAACCTAACCTAATGTGACAAGATGACCTAACTAATGTGACTAGTAGGGGACTAATCTCCAGGTGTTTTCAGGACAAAAATACCGAATCATACGTAAATTAATCAATCATCACACATTAATATAAGAATATGATAACTATCGATAATAACTATAACATATCATTAAAAACTAATATAATATCTGACAAAATTCCTTATATTATTATGATTTTACAATGAAATCTCTCACCTGCGACGCCCGATAAAACAAAATAAAAAATCAATTGGCAACTCAACACCACCAATCCAGCTAAGGCATTGGCAACACTACAGGCGATGACGTAACGACCTTAAAAATGACGCATAGGTGAGGTCAGGTGATGTCAAAGGTCAGCACGTGTCACTCGTTCATCGTTTTCGTGGTTGTTGCTGTGATGACGTTGGCTAATGGTGTAGGGGAGGGAGGGGGCGATGTAAAAAGGTAAGGATGATATAGGTAATTGTTTCAATGGTTGTTGTGGTTATGGTTGTTGTTGTGGTGGTATAGTTGTGGTTATGGTTGCTGTAGTGGTGGTGGTGGTTATGGTTGTTGTAGTGGTGGTGGTTATGGTTACGGTTGTTGTGGTTATAGTTGTGTTGGTGGTAGTGGTGTAGTGTAGTGGTAGTAGTTGTGGTTATGGTTGTTGTAGTGGTGGTAGTTGTGGTTATGGTTGTTGTAGTGGTTGTGGATATGGTTGTTGTAGTGGTGGTAGTTGTGGTTATGGTTGTTGTAGTGGTGGTGGTTATGGTTGTTGTGGGTGGGTGGTGATATCCTCCCGGGGGCCACTACAGAAGGTGGTGAGGGTGGAATTACAGCCGCTGGAAGACCCGTGAGGCGTAAACTCATCATGGGCGACACATCATGGGCGGGGTACTCACCACGGCACCTCGGATGGAACTCGGGGTTAAACTGAGTAAGTTATACCAGTCAACTCCACCTCACATCATGTAACAAGACACCTTTACCTTAGGTCTTGTTTCATTGATGAGTCACATAAGAATAACAAGAAATTCACAATAAATCAACATACAGTATACTCACAGGAACTGGGTTTGACCATATCAGCCAGTGTCGAGAAGCCAACTGACCATACCAGCCACGCGACACTTGCCTCCCCCGAGCCTCGTGAGACAGTCAGCACATGCGCAATCACTGCTTCACTTGGAGACAATAAGAGACAATACAAGATTCAAATGAACCTTTAAAATTGAACCCAGACACCAAGTAATAATTAAATAAAACATTGAATTGTTATATAAATCCCTAGCAGTGGTTGTGGTTGTGGTTGCTATATTGGTGGTAGCTGTGGTTGTTGTAGTTGTGGTTGTTGTTGTAGATGTTTTGCTCTTGATTGATATATTAATAATATAGTCCAATATAGTCCCTCGCAAGATTTTTGAGTTAAACTAAAGACAACTCCTGTTTTTTCATCTTTTATTGCAAACTGTAATACATATTTCGTCTCTTAATAAATGAGACGAACATCACCGGCAACAAACAACAATATTTTTTTTATACATGATACACTAGTTTTTGGCCTTATTTTGGTAGGGTGGGTGGGTGGGTAGGTGAGGGTGGGTGGGTGGGTAGGTGGGTGGGGGTAGGGTGAGGTGAGGTGGGGTGAGGGTGGGTGGGGGGTAGGTGAGGTGGGGGAGGTGGGAAGTGTGGTGGGGTAGGTGAGGTGGGAGGTGAGGGTGGAGGGGTGGGGGAGGGTGAGGGTGGGGAGTGTGGGGAGGTGGGAGGGTGAGGGTGGGGAGGTGGGAGGTGGAAGTGGGGGGTGGGTGAGGGTGGGTGGGGGGTGGGGAGGGTGGGGGGAGGTGGTGAGGGTGAGTGGGGGTAGGGGTGAGGGAGGTGAGGGTGGTGGGGTGAGGTGGGGAGGTGGGGGGGAAGAGGGTGAGGAGGGTGGGGAGAAAATGGCGTCTCCTATCAACTCATTTTGAGAGAGAGAGAGAGAGAGATATACTCTAAGGATAACTTACGAACCTCTCCACTTCCATAACTCACACACACACACACACACACACACACACACACACACACACACTACTACTACTACTACTACTACTAAAAGATTTAATGAACTATGCTTAACGACCTTGGACTGTTGAATTACTGCATCTGGTTGTATTAAAAGCGAAACGAGGCATTAACTGACTGACTGACTTAATTGACCGACTAGTTCAGTAACCAATTAACAGAGTGAATGAATTAATGACTCAGTAATTGAGTGATTGAATACACTAACTAACTAACTAACTAACCAACTAACTAACTAACTAACCAACTAACTAACTAACTAACTAACTAACTAACTAACTGATTGACTTGTTTAGTTCCTTAAATAATAACAACAAACAATATCATTATACAATCCATATATAATAAAATAAGCGAATAAAATAACTGACATAAACAACATTTAAAACCTAATATAAACATCCTCATAAAAAATAAATAAGACAAAACACAACAGTTTACCTCAGACAACGATAAGAATTTCCTACAGCTTTTAATTATTGAATTTTTTGTTTTGATTTTGGGAGCGAGTTGGTCGACGGTGGCTCCATGACACTCAGCTGCGGAGAGAAGTGAAACTTTTTTTTGCATCACCGGAACGTCTATGTTAAAAGAGGAAAGTTACTCGTCTGGGTAGGTCAATAGGTTGGCGGAGGGAGGATGAGGGAGGATGAAGGATAATGGTGGATAATGGAGGAAGAAAATAGGAAGGAGAAAAGGAAAAGAGAGAGAGAGAGAGAGATTTACACTTCCCGGGAACTTACTGGTGGGTGTTAAAAAATGTACAATGTTATGGTAGTAAATACACGAACATGATCACTTAACAAATAATTTTTTTCAACCAAAGAACACTATCTAAACTTAACTTAAAAATCATAGAGTAATTTCTAGTAAGGTAAGGTTAGGTTAGGTTAGGATTGGATATGTTATGTTATATTATGTAATGTTATTTTACTTTATGGTCTAGTTCGTGGTTCTTTTCTAACAGTGTTCGTGGCATCCTCATCAACATCACCCCACCAGCCCCGGGGAGAGCCACTACAGCCTAACAACACATCATATATTTATGCTGTATATATATATATATATTTTTATAACTCATAATACTGTTAGCTATATTCACGCTTAAAGCCCAATCCTTTTAGTTATGTATAAACTAGATACACAAACGTCTTTATTTACACACACACACACACACACACACACACACACGATTATAGCTCCTCCTCTGTGTGCACAGGAATATGACGTCACAGTTATCCTGACACTCTATTGGTGGTCTTGGGATTCTCTCGACCAATAGGAGGTTAGGTTGCCGACACGTGACTTGTAGTACAGGGTTCATGGTGGTGTTTTACTGACATGAGGAACGTGTTTGTTTACCCTCTTTCACTTTAGCGATGGAATAAACAGTCGAAATGGCGCCAAATATATTCCCAGACATATCAAAAGAAAACAAAGTAAAACAAAACCATATACATGTCTTTGAGAATTAATGTCTTGGAAGGTTCGGATTCGTAAGAGTCTCAATGACGTCACTATTAAATTAACCAATTAGGTACGTTGTTACATTTTCAATTACGAGGATAATTTCACTTTCAGAACTCAGATAATCCAGACCATTGACTTTCATCACAGTTAATGTTAAGGGCCAAGTAAAGAAAAACCTGTTTCTTGATGATATACTTCTTGACACATGGCGAATATAAACACGGCCGTCACTTGTAGCTGAAGACATAACAATATAACCCTGGGATAATATACTGGATCACAGGACTCGATTACTCCACACAGTCGGCACACCTAAACAGAGTCTTATTATACAAGGTCTTTATTGTTCCTTGTGTTGTATTTCTTGAAAGATGTTGCTATAGGTATTATTAAGTAACACACTCAGTTTTTTGGTTCATATAAGTTACTTTACGAGATTTTCTAAGTAGAGTCATGGAGTGTTAAGTGATGTATGGACTAGAGGGAGAGTGTCAGCCACTGTCACAACACAACCCACATCACGCTACAGAAAAAGACTAATCTAACATAAAACAAATTAATAATTTTCCCGGGTCAACTACGAGTTATCCAACTTAAAGAAAACGTGAAGTGGACCAGAGCCACGAACAGCACATAGAAAACTGGAGGTGGGACGGTAACCTTTGCACACCGCAGCGATAATACTCTATAAACACAGGCTAAGGAGTCGTCCATCCAGGTAACGACATCACGGGAATACTTCGTCAGGAGCGGACGAAGAAGATGATCTCCCGTTGTTATCGGGT